AAGAAGATTATAATTGCTGCTTGAACAACCTTTCGTTTACAGTTAACTATAATCTATCTCTAGAAAAATGTTTTTTGCTGAAAAGTGCACTGTGACTCATTTCAATACATCAAAATCATCCTGCCTCATATCTCGTCCTGGCAAAGCGGGATCATATAAACAAACACCCTTGGTGGTGAGGCAGAATTTTCCTTGTGATAGTAACTTCGAGTAATTAGCATAGTAATTTTTCAAAGTGTTAACTGATGCATTGCATCTATCTTTTCTAACAACATTATTATTTGCATCAAGTCATGTCTCATTGGTAACCTAACAACATTTAAAAAAGCCATTTTAAAACCTCTTTCATTTGGAATTGAGCTGAGGGTTTTCATAAAATCGCTACTTATTTGTTGCCTAAAAATCTAGTGTAGCTTCTGTTTCAGTTTGATAGATTGTCCAGTCTTTCTGGTGACCATGAGTTGGTCAGAAAAAAATGGTTGCCATTATGGTGTTTCTGATTCTGTTCGATTTTAGGAAAGTAGAAAATGCACTTCCTAAAGATCAATCTCCCATATGGTTTAGATGGAAGCAAGGATTTATCTATGCAGTCATTATTGATTAAAGTTATTTTATGATTATAGCTTAAATCATGCAATAGTTGATTATACTAATCTATCTTCTTGTTGGAAATTCTACCATCATTTCTTCTTACCACACTAGACACCTTTGCACTAGCTTTCACTTTGTTTATCAGGATTTCCATACATGTTGCCACTTCTTCTAGTCCTTTGTGATCGAACAAGGTTGTTTGTTCCCACATGAAGGACGACCATGCAAAATCCATGATTTCCATCTCTTTCCAATTTCTCTCTGATCTGCTTCACAGTTGCTCCACTGTTGGAGTGGCAAGTAGGATTAGAGCTCGCTGCTCTTCCAATTTTGCTTTTGTCGATTTTCTTCGCCATTAAATCTCCGATAACCAGGACCAACTTGTCATTTGATTTGCTTTCTTGTTCATAATGGCAAGGTTTCTTCTGAGAAGAAAGGCTTTTCATTGATCATTCAAATCATCGATTCTGTTTGAGCAGTGGTGATGGTTTTCTTTCCTTTTCCTCAAGCTGAGAAGGGATTTTGGTACGTATACTGGGTTACTTCTGTTGTAACCTGTGAGGTATTTTGCCCAGCATTGCCAACAACTTTCTTTATTTCCTCTATTTTTGCACATTCATTATGTTTACTATCGAGGATACATTTGATGTGGTTTTTATCATTGGACAATTGTTCAACTGTAAGATTTAGTGCTTGAATTTCAGCTGCCATTTTTATAGTTTATAACTCATCAATGTTTGTGTCTAATCGGCTTCCTGTTCAGGTGCTCGTAATAGGGTTTGCTGGAACTCTTCTTGTTGTTTGTGTTTTATTTTGGCAATTAGTTCCATTATATGTATGATCTGTTGATCATGTGTGATGTTCACAGGATGAGTTTTTGTTTTGGATTATCCATGCATTATCGCAAGAATTATAATTATCCCGGAGGGTCTAAACTGCAGGTTGCAGGTTAATGCAGGTTAATGCAGGTTGCAGGTCGGTGCATGTTGGCCTAAACTGCAGGTTGCAGGTGAATGCAGGTCAGTGCAGGTTAATGCAAGTCAGTGCAGGTCAGTGCAAGTCAGTGCAGGCCGGGTAATGGTTCATGTACTTTAGCATGTGTTGCCCAGTCAGTTTGACAACTGGCTTAACATTACATGGGGCCAAAAAATCACATTCAGAATAAGAAAATAGCATCCCGGTATCGACGTTAATAAAGTAATCTACAAACACGTCGCAATTTTTTAAACTTTGAATATAACTTAAGGCCTTGATACACTAGGGAAAGTTTCCTAAACAAAGTTTCTGAAACATTTTTTAGGTGGAAAAACTGCAAGAATGTGGACTCCAAGGAAATTCCTGCTCAAAAAGTGAAAAATCTTCCCAGTCGTTCAAAATAAAACAAAAGGTTTAAGTTTTTTATGATAGGAATGAAACTTGTTTCATAAAAGTTTGTTTCGGAGACTTTTCCAAGACATAGTCTATCATCAGACTTGCTCCAAGTCTCTCTTTCATTGTCATATCGATCCACTATAGTGTACATTACCTGATGTAGGACGGAGGGGCGGAGCCGGAGCGAGAAAGAGAGACTAGTCAACTTCGGAAAATCTCGGTTCAAAACTGAACTGAAAGACTTGCTTTAATTGTTTTCTGTCAGTGTTTATATGTATTGATCTAGCACAGTGTAAATAACATGAGTTCCATTATAGTAAATAATACAGAAAGAAATTGAAGGAAATTAGGAAAACAATTATTGTCAAATTGACTGGGCAACACAGGCTAAAGTACATGAACCATTACCCGGCCTGCAATTAACCTGCACTGACCTGCACTAACCTGCACTAACCTGCAACCTGCAGTTTAGACCGACCTGCAACCTGCAGTTTAGACCCTTCGTAATTATTATCCATGCATTTATCAAAGCATTATTGCAGTTTTCAATTGGACATCACTTTGTAAGCTTCTTGACATATATTTCTTGATTTTATATTTATTTGGTTACATATTTCCACTTGAATGAGAAATTTTTTTATAAAAGGATTCTTCAGATTGGAATTATGAGTACAGGGGACATAAACTGTCATGTGAATTCAGAACATAGTTAAGCTCTTAATCTGTTTTTACAACTTAATGCTGATATTTTACAGTTGTAGGCTTGTAACTGTTCCATTCACAAGCATTCAGTTGTGTCTGTGATCGATATATTTTGTTGCTAATGTTGGTTGTGGTAACACTGTTGTTACTAAATAATAATTAATGGAATTTAAGGAGGCTCCCTAGGGTTTTATTTCCGGGGGTTACGTTCTTTGTATATATGTAAACTAAAACTTGTGTGACTTCAAAATATGAACAAACGTTGTGTTTTAATTCTTTTCAAAACTAAAGTGTGAATTTTGCTTTAGTTTAAAGCATAAAAAGAGTTCTAAAAGACACAATGATACTACTTGGATGTGATGTTTCAAAAGAAGATAATGCAAACTTTTTTTTTTCCAAGCGGTATTCTGGAAGTTTTTTGGCTTATTGTTTTATGCAAAATGTATTTACATGTTAGTTGTGGTATTAAATTTTTCAGGTCAAAATCTAGTAAACATTGCCAAAATTAAACCCAAATTTCTCCCTTTTGCTTTGGTAAATTTTTATAAAACTTTGCACATTTTAATATCAGCACAAGAAGTGCATCCTTTTTTTATTAAAATTAAATCTTTTAAAATTTTCTAAGAAATGTATTGATATATATATTTTAAAATTGAGGGGAAAAAATCATACAAGTATTATCTTTTATGCAAAGTTTAAAAAAATTCACCGAAGGTAATTTTTAAAATGGCCTGTAAAAGATAAATTTTGAGCTTTATTCTATGCATGCAACAGACTTTTAACACAAAAGTAGCAAATTGCAATGTTCGGGAGAGCATTGTCAATGTGTCCAATAAGGAGTCTCCTGAATACTATAGTGTAGAAAATTCAAAAACCCTTGGGAGCCACCTTAACAGATGTTTGAAAATATTACATATAGTTTTTCTCTTGACATTCTTTTCCAACATAATTTATGTATGTACCAATCAATGGGAGGCAGGATACCCATGGGTTAGTAATTGGCTAATTGAGGAGCTAATAACTAATATAACTTAGTTCTGCACTTCACTTGGTGGAATTAATATTAGGATGTTAGGGTTTGTAATCCAAGTGAGAATATATACATTTTAAGACCTAACCAGGAACGACTGCGAAAAATGCAGCACAAGGTCCTCTGTTAGGAATCGAACCTACGGCCCTGCGATTCCGGAGCAGCGCTCTAACCAACTGAGCTACAGAGGCCAGCTGTAGAACTGTAACTGTAAGTTCATGTATATACAGGTAACTGGGTGTGTGGGCTGTGATAAGGTGGACTTGAATAACTTAGTTCTGCACTTCACTTGGTGGAATTAATATAGGATGTTAGGGTTTGTAATCCAAGTGAGAATATATACATTTTAAGACCTAACCAGGAACGACTGTGAAAAATGCAGCACAAAGTCCTCTGGTAGGAATCGAACCTACAGCCCTGCGATTCCGGAGCAGTGCTCTAACCAACTGAGCTACAGAGGCCAGATGTTGAGCTGTAACCATAAGTTCATGTATATATAGGTTACAGCTCAACAGCTGGCCTCTTTAGCTCAGTTGGTTAGAGCGCTGCTCCGGAATCGCAGGGCTGTAGGTTCAATTCTACCAGAGGACCTTGTGCTGCATTTTTCGCAGTCGCTCCTGGTTAGGTCTTAAAATGTATATATTCTCACTTGGATTACAAACCCTAACATCCTAATGCTAATAACTAATGCCTGCCCAAGACACAAAATTTTTACCACAATTTTCCCATTTGTAGACTGGGCTGAGTATTTTGATTTCAACATGGCATGCACACCAAAATGTAAAAGTAAGTATGAATTTATATCCTTGTAATTTTTGTTTCTTTTTGAAACAATGTGGCTAAATTTATCTCTAACATTAACTTCTACTTATCTTGTTAGAAAAAAAGTGTTGACTTTATATTTCAAAAAAGTGTAGAAAGGTTTGTTCGCACACATCATGTGCACAGAAATTGAATTGTTTTTGATATGCTTATTTGGGTATATGTGGACAATGGGTTTTTTATTACATATGTGACAATTTTCGTATCTCCATGGTTAGCCCCCCACTTGCCATCATGGGGCTTATCAGTGATAGATGCATATATGTAATTTAAGATTCTATCACATGATTGGCAGGTTGGTATCACATGAGATAGCACTGCGCTTATGCCAAATCACTGTACGGTTTCTGACCGAGGGAAGACGCCAATTTTGTCTTCCCGCTCTTTTCACCAAAAAACAGATTTAGATATAGTATTAATACTTATTAATACAACTAGTACTTTTGACAGAACGTAGTTCGTCACTTCAAAGTACAAAAACATAATGGCTACCTGTCAAGGGCCTCCTGAGGTTGAAGATATCCGTCGGCCACAAGAAAATTCAGTTAGCCAACCAGAAGACACTGCTGTTGAGGACGGCGAGTGTTTAGAAACACAAAAATCCCAAGCTGAACGATAAAAATCAGTTGGCTGTGTTGGATGCAATCCAACAATTGGGTGCCGAGATGGCATTCTTTGAAACATGATCTGGCTCTGCTCAAAACATCAAAGAGTTTGCAAACGCAAGCGTCATGATAGCTCTGACGAGGAAGAATGCGTGTTAGAGTCAGATGACAGCCAGGAGAAGGATAATCCTGCCCCTTCTATTAATACTCGTATCAAATATTTAATTGCCAGGAAAGAACAAACCTCAGCTGCAGATAATATAGATACTGGAGGCTTGTTGGGCGAAATTGCACCCGACCTGAAAGTCAAAGAACAAACTGGCAAGGCTGTCAACGACGAGCTCGCCGCCATTGTGGATTCTTTATTGGCGGAAAAACTCTCTGACACAAAACTGCAGGCAAAAAGTGGATCTTTATCCGCGACCTGACAATGTCAACAGGCTAAAAACCCTCAAGTTAACCAATTAATTTGGCAACAGCTCGCCACGACTGTGAAAACGTACGATTTGAAACAGCAGAGAACACAGACAACTCTGCTAGCTTGCGTGGCGGCCATGTTGCGTGTCGCTGATCTGGCTCTCGAGGAAAACCTAGACAATACGGTTATTACCAGTACTACGGATGCCATGGTATTAGCATTACAATACCATCAC